TTTAGCATAGGTTGACCATTCGGATTTCACGAAATGGGCTTGTCGCAATACTGTTATAAAAACAGTAGAGTTCCGTGCTAATTTTAGAACGGGACTGGTACCAATGTTGGGGCGTGGGACTACAAAACGTGGGCCAAATTGCCCAACCTCACCAAAATATAAGGAGAGGTGGCACTAGCCTTAGGAACAATCTTTCTACTGCGGGGAATGTTATTGGGACGTCTAGTGGAAAAAGGCTACATGAAACTTAGAGAGGGCAGAGCAAGAGCAAGTTGGAGTCAAGTCGTAAGAGGTAAACGGGGAGGTGGTCATGCCTCAAGTTCGACCACTTTGCCCTGTCACTCCCACTTTCTATCTCTCCTTGTTTCCTCTCTAACTCTTCCCTCCACGTTTCCTCTTCCTCCTCGGTCCAATCCTCGTGTGTGAATGCTTATCTTCACACGCACGTTCGTTTAATATTGCAAGTCTCGAGCGTGCGCCCAATCTGCCTTGCGTGCGTCTACTCTTCCCCTCGTGCACCCAACTTCTCTCTTGCGCGCGCCCAATCTTCCTTGCGAGTGCCTATGTCATCTTGCATGCGCCTAGTTCACCTCGTGTGTGCCCACTCTGCTTTGCGTGTGCCCAATGTGCTTTGCGTGTGCCAACTCTGCATTGTGTGTGCCCACTATGCCTCCGCGCACCCACTCCGCCTCATGCACGCCCACTCCTCCTTGCGCACGCCCAATTCGTCTTTTGTGCGCCTATTCTACCTTGCGCACGTCCGCGCGTACCCGTTCTAAGCATGTGAGCGCAAGACTTCATGCTTGCACACGCTTATTTTAGGCTCGCATGCTCCGGTCTTATGCTTGCTAGCCCTCGCGCGTAGCGACATTAGCTCCATGCACCCTCGAGCGTAGTGGTGTTGACGCTGCATGCCCTTGTGCATAGTGCCTTGCGGGAATTGCGTGATTTTGCTTGCTCTACTGTATTGGCTCGCAGGGACCGTGTACCCTCATACGCACCAGTAGATGGGTTCGCAGGAACTGCGTACTCTCGAGCACACTGTCGAATTAACTTTTGGGACTGCGTGCCTTTGCATACATTGTTAGATTGACTTGCGAAAATTGTGCGCCCGGCCCTTGTACGCACTGTCAATCTAGCTATCGGAATATGCGAGCTCATTGGCTTTTGGAACTTGGCGCCTATGTGCGCTCTTTCAAATGAACTTTTGGAAACAAATTAATGGGAATCTCATAAAGTTACGAAAATGAGGAAATATCTAATAATTGACTTCTCTTCGAAATTACTTAATAGGGATGAGCAAAGGAGTTCGCTTGTATACTAATAGTATTGGAGGTTGGTAAATACTGAAGTGAGTAATAAGAAAATTTCACGAGAATCTCGTGAAATACTGGGCTACTCGTCGTGCGCCCCGGCTCACCTCGACTCGCACAGCACCCGCCCGGGAGGCCCGGTTGGGCAGGGTGGTCGGGCTGGTACCGGGCTCCCCTCGCACAAAATAGGGGACGGGGAGGTTTAGAGTACTGTAGGTCTGGGCTTTCCCCCACCCCTAAAGGTCCTCCCTAGGACAAAAGATAAAAACAAGGGCCTGCAGACCCTCAATTTTTTTTAATTGAAATACACGATCCCAGTCGATCTTGCGGATCAACGACTGAAATAGAGGCACACAAGCCCCCCTCACGAAGCGGGGAGTTGAAATTCAAAGTTGAACTCCCGCCCGTTTGTCCACCCATTGGAGTTGTTGCCCCCGCCTGCTGGAGCTGCTCGTCCTCGCCGCGTTGTGATGCCCAACCTCACGCCCCACGCAACTTCGTGATCGGAGTGGGAGTGGGTCTGGAAGTGCGAAAAAGGAGGTGTGCCAAGGATCTTAGGAAAGTGGGGGTGGAGTCCCAAATCGGAACTAAGATCTCCTGTGGCAAGTTTCAGGGATAGGAATGAAAAACAGAGTAGGCGCGAACCAGAGTCCGGGTTTGTGTTTCGAAGGGCGAAGCTACCGCCTTTGCTGGCTCTATGGTCTGGGTCGGACTCGTATTTGGTGTACTGCCGGGACGCTATGGCTATCTCACTGACTGATCACCTGCCGACGACGAACGTCATAGGTCTCTGAATCCGACGAGGCCGGCCTCAGCCGAAGGCTGTGTGTCCGTCATTCCTCCCCCGAGCGAGTTCGCGGGATGAAGCCGGACGCTCGGTAATCGCGGTCCCGTAGGCACTCTTAGCATGGCGGTTGGGGCTAATAGGGAGCGATTGCGCGCCAGGGGACAATAGTCAGGGAGTGGACGGGCAATACGAGGTGATAGGGAGGGGAGTTAGTTTCCAGTATGATTATTTCGGGCTCTGCGACGAGATGACACATGTACGGTTTGGGAAGGTCAGGGTGGTGGGGAATATGTTATAGGGCCCGATTAATATCGCATTCACAGTTCGCTCCCCCTCAGGTATGGAAATTCCGGAAGTTCTCTCCTCGATCGTGCAACCAGACATATGTGCTCCCAATATTCCCGGAATTCCCGATCCCTCAAACACTCGCAGCCAGTAATACGAAAAGGGATTTCGATGTTCATGCTGCAAGGTGGGTGGAAACTCAGACATTCGGAAGTGGGCCGGGTACAGGCCTTGCAAACACGTGTGTAAGTGACAACCCTCCTCGTGTCGGGCTTACACGTGCGTGCACAAGAACTGTCCGTCGGTGCGGTAGATGAAGGTCAACAACGTGCAACTGGTACGCTTGGGCCCGTTGACCCGAAAGTGGGCAATCCTATCGTGAGACAAACGTCTAATCATCTAGCATGCCCATCTAATTCACACTAAGACAGAAAAACACCAAACATCCATGCATCCAACTTTGAATACACACAAGAGGAGTTGGCAATCTTCCATGCATCGCGACCATTGATCAAAACTCATACAAAATTCGATCGAAGGTGATCAACTCATCAAGTTGCTAGTCCATACAGAGGGAAAGCACGGGAGATAATCACACACCAATCCTCGGGGACTAACAAAGGAAAAATCCGAGATGCCGATTCAAAAGAAAACAAGGGCGACTTGCGCCAAATACCAAAATTGCTCAGAAGAATAGAAGAAAGGCACCTCTCCAACACATTCCGTCTCTCTCTCTCTCTCTCTCTCTCTCTCTCTCTCTCTCTCTCTCTCTCTCTCTCTCTCT